AAAGAAATGCGACAATAAATACTACGATGCCAGTGTCGGTGATGGCGTAACTTCAAATAAAGTGTTATTTTATTAACGCACGTATAAAAATATTTTAAATAACTCACAGTATTTTGGAATTGTGTGATTGTGGGCGTGTCTGAGTGAACAGGAATAATTTAGTTCTTACCAATGTGTGTAGTTTCTTCATATTACCACGTAGCGACGCTGTAGACCGTGGCACAGAAAGGTGGACGCTCCTCCCATGGTAAAAGCGGAATAGCTGTGGTTTTCATCACAAAGAGACGAGGGAAGGGAAGGAGCGGCATAATGGAGCATTTCTCTTTAAAAATATCACAGTCGCCTTGATTTTTGTCATATCCTACCATCTAACACTGGGAACGGATTTGTGGATATATTATTTGCTGTATTCCGGCGGAAGTATGCATTTAACGACGAGAAGAAGCGCTATTGTCACATTTCTTTTGATTGTGCTCTTGGCTTATTATTGGGAAGCGGCGGCTGCACAGCTCTCCTATTCCGTCTCAGAGGAGGTGAATCCGGGGACTAATGTCGGAAATATCGCCAAGGATCTAAACCTTAACGTGCAGGAGTTGGCCTCCCGTTTGTTTCAGATTGTTGCATCTAAAAAGAAATACTTTGAGATAAATCTAAAGACCGGATTTCTGTATGTCAGTGAGAGGATAGATCGAGAGGAGGTTTGTACAGATGAGCCCAAATGCACGGTTACCGTAGAGGCTGTGATAAACAATCCGTTAAAGCTTTACCGCGTGGAGATAGAAATTAGAGATGTGAACGACCACTCTCCATCCTTTAACACGAAATCTCAAATACTGGAAATTGCAGAGAACACACTGCCTGGGTTTAGATTTGCGTTATCGGAGGCAAGCGACGCTGACGTGGGTAAAAACAGTGTTAGTGCATATAAGCTGAGTACTAATGAATATTTCAGTCTTGCCACACATAAAAGAGGAAAGAGTATATCTCCAGAGTTAGTGCTGCAGAAAGCCCTGGATCGTGAGAAACAAGCAAGTATACAACTTTTGTTAACTGCAATAGACGGAGGGTCTCCACCAAACACGGGGACATCAGAAATTGAAGTAAGTGTGTTAGACAGTAATGATAACGCACCAGTGTTCAGTAGCACTCTTTACAAAATTAAAACACTCGAAAATAGCCCGATTGGCACTACGATCTTCACCTTAAATGCGACTGACGCTGATGAAGGAACAAATGGTGAAATAGTGTACTCCTTACGAAGTAAGGATCAGGATCATATTTTGGATATTTTCCAAATTGACCCTGAGACAGGGGTTATTTCAGTCAAAGCCAAAATCGACTATGAAGAAACAAAAGCTTTCGAGATCCGAGCAGAAGCTAGAGACAAAGGCCAGCCTCCCATGGCAGCCCATAGTAAGGTGCTGGTTGAAGTAATAGACTTAAATGACAACGCTCCTGAAATCAAAGTGACGTCACTTCTCAATGCAGTGAATGAGGACGCTGAAATAGGCACTGCAATTGCACTTGTTTCAGTTCTAGATACAGATAGTGGTAAAAACGGTGAAGTTGAATGTGTAATCTTAAATAAAGTTCCGTTCAAACTGGAGACAAATTACAAAAATTATTACTCTTTAGTTGTTGACGGACATCTAGACAGAGAGGAGACCCCTCAGTACAATGTCAAAATTTCAGCTACGGATGAAGGGAGCCCTCCACTTTCTAACACTAGTGTTATCACTGTTTACCTTTCTGATATTAACGACAACGCGCCACGTTTTTCACAGTCTTTAATAAGTGTTTTTGTGAAAGAAAACAGTAAGGTAGGAACAGTTATAAAAAGGGTCACTGCAGTCGATATTGACATCAGAAACAACGGTCAGGTGAGCTATTCACTAATAGATAGTAATAGTAAATCACTTCCTCTCCCAACAATGGTAAACATTAACTCAGAAACTGGAGACATAATCAGCCTGCAGTCTTTTAACTACGAGGAGTTGAAAATGTTTCAATTTAAAGTTCAGGCCACAGACTCTGGTGTTCCTCCGCTCAGCAGCAATGTCACTGTCAACGTTTTAATTCTGGATGAAAATGACAATAATCCAACAATTCTTGCTCCTTACTCTGAGCATGGCTCCGTTAACAGTGAGAGCATCCCCTATTCTGCTGAAGCGGGATACTTTGTGGCAAAGATCAGGGCTGTAGACGCAGACTCTGGATAC